GGCAGTGAGCCAGGAAGAGGTGAGAGCAGTCCGTACCTTTAGTGCCGATCCACAGCTGGTCTTGTTCTAGCTTAAAGGTAAGTCTCACTTTTCCCCCGGACTTATTGTACATGCCAGATAAGGGTACAGCTGGCAGGCGCTCCTGGAGACACAAGAGCATGGTAAGAGAGGGAGGAACCAGAAACAAGGCGAGACAGGAAAAGAAGACGGGACAAGACTCGAGGACCTGATTGCAGGAACCTCAGGAAGTCAGAAGGTGAGCCTGGTTCCTTTTCAGAATGCTCACAAAGGAGTTCGGCTTACCTGGGCACCCTTAACAGACGGCATCACATCTTCAGGTTTCCCTTTATCCAATACTTTCCTGTGTTGCTATAAGTCAGAAGAGATAAATAAATGAAACAGCTGACTGCATTTTGGTCTATTATTACCTCTTTGAAAAAGAGAATGAAGAAAGCCTTAATGTTTTGGTTCAAAAGCTTTTTGTGACTACAGATATGGGTCCTTTGACACTACAGAGCAGTGCTGTCCAGCAGAAATTTCCATGATGGAAATGTTCTATATCTATGCTGTCCAAAACAGTAGCCATGAGTCACCTGTGGCTATTAAGCACTTGAAACATGGCTAGCATGAGTAAGGAACTGAATTCTTAATATTACTGAATTTTAATCAGCCACATGTGGCTACCACATTAGACATCAAAGCTCTAGAGCAATCAGGATTTCCAGATTGCTAATTCAAATAAACTCTACTTCCTTCTCCCCCTCCCCCGAAATCACCACTGAAAGAATTAATAAACATCAAGATAAGACAGCCACAAAGGGTGCTTGCTCTCCTGGCATGTACAAAACAGGACAGCCGTTTCTGTCAACTTAAACTCCCAGAGAAACCTATAAGGATGCTGATAATCAGCTTAGCTGTCCTAGAAGGGGCACTCCTTCAACAAATGGAGACTCAGTCCACTGCACAAATCTTCCCCATAACCCCACCCTCAACCCCAGCTAAACAGAAAGCTCAGGAGCCACATTTCCAAAGAGAAATGCTGATTAAAGCCTGACATTAAGAAGTCTCTAACCCCACTCCCACCTCAGGAGTCTGAAGCAGCTCGTTAAGGGTTCTAATTAGGCTCATGGCCCCCTAAAACTGTTTCTGTCTGGCCCAAATGCCTGAGTCTTGTTTCCTCTCCATCTGTGGCTTTACAGGTACAGTCGCTGTCTGGTCAAGCTAGAACTGTAGGGTAACAAGTGGGTAGAGGGTAAACATTTAATCGAATTTAAGGACCAGGTGGCCAAGAGCCAGCTTAAACCCGCACCGGCATGGTGGAAACCCTCTGGCAGGAATAAACTCAACACTGCCAGACTACTAGCAAAAGGTCACTCTACATATCAGCCCTAGATTCTTGAGCAAGCTGATGAAAAGCCAGGAGAACGGGTCCCTCTCAGTAGGCCACGTTATGCCTCATAACCGGCATCAATGGAACAAAGCTGCGTGGATTAGAAGCCTAACTGGACTCATACCTCACAAGTACCTTTTGAAGAATTTTCCCTTCACTGTGGAGAACACTTCTAAAGCCTGTTAAGCTACCATTAGTAACTCAAAACCTGTATTTAAGAGGCATGTTATGCTCCAAGGGTGTAACCAGTGGGAAGGCTCATTCATGTCTGACATGTTCCTATTTGACAGTTTCATACATTGTGGCAGGGGAAGATATGAAAATGGAAATGCACTCAGTTAGTTACAAGGCATTATCATCCCATATTTAGAGGCAAAAGTGTCCAAATAAACACATTTTAGATGTTAATATAGGTTTACAGACTCTTATCTGAAACCCTAAGGACAAATGTTTTGTACTTTATAAAGTCTAAAACTTTTAAGAATTTTATGAACGAAATGCAGTTTTTCTTTTTTTTCGTAATACAGTTTTAAACTACACTACATAATATTCTTTGTGGAGTCTAGGATAGTACCTTGTTACTAAATATGTTAATATTTCTAGGGCAAAACATGACTATTTACACTAATTCTGATCAGGTTTTGCTGCCAAATTTATAAAAGCACTTGGGTTTTCAGACTCTTTTGGGGTTCTGGAAGCACATATAAGGGATTACGGACCTGTAACAGAAAATTGTGTCCTTCTCACACTGTTGGCCATGTGCCTTGGTGCCTAAGGTCACTGAAACTGATGTTGGTCAAGGTTGGTTTACTCTCCTCAGGATACAGATTAAGTTGAGAATATCTATTTTCCTGGAACACATTAAGAGTAGCCAGGAGACTCCATAACTACAAGTGGGGTTAGCTGGGTGATAAGATCACAAGTGATGGTTCTTCCAATCAGTTCCTTCCACAGTGAAACACGTTTACTTTTCCCAGTCACAAAAAAGAATCTGAATGGCTACAATGAGCACAAAACAGGCTGGATCTCTTCCATCCAAAATGACCAACAAAGCATGTAAAAATTCAGGCCCCCATTTCACAGACCAGGAAGAGGGAAAAAAGAAAATCAGCAGAGTTATCTTCCTAGTCAGCTTCATTTGGCTTCCTGAAACAGTCAGTTTTAGAGGAACCTCTGAAAGCTATTGATTTCCATGCCTATCCAGAAAAGGGCTTGTTGGCGTGAGGGAAGCCACAAGCCAAAAAAACAAATGCAAGCACTTGTGTAAAATGGAGGATTAATTCCAACAGTGGCATTTTTCTCTGGCACTAAATAGGAGAGAAACCCACATCTGCTTCATTTCAGTACCTGGTCTAAAGCCTGCCTTTACAAAGGCCTTATCCTAAAGTAGATAGACTTGAGACACACTGACCCGCCAGATGAGACAAAGATGCAAATCTCAGGTAGTTGTCACCTCCACTCAACAGCCAGCCGCACCCAACTGCTGCCATAAATTTCCATCATGGGCCCTGTCCAAAAAGGAGCTTATTCTAGAAAGGATACAACCAGCCTAGGCTTGAGAGGACAAAGCCTCACACTTCCCAGGACCAACAATCACACGACAGACTCACTTTCTGCCTGCACAGAGGCTCCTTCTTGTTCTCTTCGGCCTTTGCGTCCTGCTGGGCAGCATCTTTGGGTGTGTTCACTGCTAAAACATCATTTATCGTGGAGCCAACCACCATGATCTTGGCTCCACTGGTGACTTTTATTTCTCTCAACGTCTTATCCTCAGGGACAAGTCCCTTATACATGACTTTCTGCATGGCAGGCGGGAGACCTTGAGAAAAAGTAGAGGACAGTGAAAGGAAGAAACAAAAAACATTCTTGCACAACAGACCCGAAAGTGAATACTGCTCTACTGCCAATTACTTTTGTGCACTCAGGCAATTCACAACCTCTCTGAGCCTCCAGAACTTCATAAGAGTAATGACAATAGTTCCTTCTGTATGAACTCGTTTTAAGGACTAAGATATAATAAATATGGAGCATTTAGTGCAGCACCTGGTATTTAATAACTGATCAATAAATATCAGCTATTATTCATTCCAAGTTGTTCCTCAACCATCTTGTGACTCAAATATTAAGTGAGAGTCCACAAACCTCAGGGATATAGAAACCAATAAGGTTTCTGTTTTTATGGAGCTTACAGAATACGTGCAGAAAATGTAAAAAGAAAATCATTTCAGATGGCAAACTGCTGTAAATAAGAAAAAACTAAGTAATACAAGCATCTGTGAAGGGGCCAGCATGAGAGCCAAAAACAGTGTTTCCTAAACTTCCCTTATTAGAAGTACCTGAGGCATTTGCTAAAAATAATTCCTGGCCACATTCCAGACCCACTGAATCAAAATCTCCAGGGGGAAGGGCCTAGGAGCTGTAAATTTCACAAGCGCCTTAGGTCATTTTATTAGAGATGTTAGAAGCACGAGTTAGAAACTTGGGCCGAAGAGTCAGAAATGGACTTGAATCCCAGCTCAGTCACTGACTAGCTCTGACTTCGGGTCTCATTTTCCCCACCTGAATAACAGGCACATTACTACTTACTTGGGAGGACTGTTGTGAGCATTGAGAACGCTGATGCAAGGAAACAGGCCAGCGCGGTGCCTAGCACAGCGTCAACACTAGGTAGGTGAAGTGGGAAAGGCTGTCAGAGCCACGGGGATTACCTGTAATCGAGTGAATCTTCTGTTTTAGTTCGGAGCCTGTGCTATCCAGGGGAAACTTCACGTCGTGCTTGGTCTTGTTCCAGATGATCTTCAGGTCCACCAACTCCCTGCCCGCGCCGCCGCCCGCGTCCTCGCCGTTGCTGACCGAGGCCTGGGCCGCGAGGTCCCCAGGGGGCTGGGCCGGGGCAGGCTGCAGACTGCCTCGCGCGGCGCAGGAGTCCTCGGCCGCCGCCCCCGCCGCGGCTTCGGCCTCCAAGCAGCTGAGGGGCCGCGCGGGCCCCTCGGTCGCCACGGTCTCGGCCTCCGTGTCCATGCCCGGTTCCTCCATGCCTGCAAGGGGGTTAGGGGGTGGGCGCTCGCCGCGGGCTGGGCCTGGGACCGGATTCTGCCCGGGCGCCGCCGGACCGCCGCTCCCGAGCCAGACTGCTCCCCCCGCCGCGCCAGGCCGCATCCCCCAGGGGCTCCCGCTTCACCTCGGCCCGACCCGGGCGCCCGCCACCCCCTCCACACTCACCATCCGGGGCTCCGGCCGCCGCCATGATGATTGTGTACAACACCCACAGCTCCCGCAGAGGCCGCCGGGAAAAGGCGAGCTGGCTGAGATTGGCCCCGGCAACAGCCCCTAATCGCGCACAGCCTGGCCGGAAACAGGTGGAGGTTTCTATGGAGACCCGCCTCCTCCGCTTCCCCGGCCCGGCCCCTGCCACGCTTTAGCTTTCAAGAACCCGGGGGGCGGGCCCGGGAAATCTCCCGTTCGCTGGACTCTGCCCCCTAGAGGCCGAGTGGGACCGCAGTCGTGCAAGGGGGCGTGGGCTTGTAGGCTAGGGGGCCTGCGCCTTTAAGGGGCGGGGTTGCGCTGCTGTGGCGGAAGCGGATTTGCTGGGAGGAGTCCCCGGAAGTGATGCACGGAGAAGCCCACGTGTGCGGTTCCACTCCACATGGCTGTGCTCCTGAAGAGGTTGTTGCATCCCCCGAGGACCCCGGAGGCCTTGGGCCGCCCCCTGGGACGGCGCGAGGCTAGCCTGGGCACTCATGCCGGGCCTGCGGTGCGAGTGCGGTTCGCCCCCAGCCCCACAGGTAACCTTGGCGGACGTGACGCTGCAGGCGGAGGCCCACCGTCTCTTGCCCGCCCCCCGAACGTTCCGAGCGAATCCCTTCCGGTGGAGTCAGACTGGGCGGGTAGTGCGGCCTCATTATAGAGGCAGAAATAGGTTTACGAGAGGAAATTTTTCACGTTGCCAGGAATTTCGTGTTTATTGTACTGTACCATTTCTTTGGGCCCCTTTTTTCTTTTGTGTATATAGTAAATGTGTATTGAGTACAAAATGTTTTAGGCGCTGGGGTACAGTGGACATGGAGAAAGTAGGGCCCCCGCTCCCAAGAAGCCTACACTGTAGTGGCTGCAACAAACACGTATAAAAATAACTAGTTTTAAACAGTCACGTGTGTCATGCGGAAAATGAAGCAGGGTAGGGGACTGGGGGTTGGGTAGGATGCTCAGGGATGCCTTGCTGAGGAGGTGTCATAAGGGCTGAGAACCAGATAACAAGAAGGAGCTAGGTATGTGAAACCTATAGAAGGAACCTTCTGGGCAGAGGAAATTGGAGGTACAAAGGCCCTGTGATTAGTATTGGAGCCTAGCAAACCAGAGAGTGAGGCAGGGGCCCACTGTATACCCTATCGGCGATCTTGTCAGGGCCTCCGCACCAGTTCCCCAAATTCTTTTCTCACCAAGGCGACCTGCTTGCCCTCTTCACACCAAGCGTGCCTCTCATTCTGAACTCCAGAGTCACAGAGCTACCTTTGTGACAAGGTCTCAGCTACACAGAGTGACAGAAATCTTTCTCGGCAGGCAGTATCGTGTAGAGCATGCTTCTCAAACCACCCCCGGTGAAAGGACTCGTTTCTCATTTCCAGTCAATTATGGACTAATACTTCTATAAAATCAGTATAAAGAAATTAGTAGAAAAAGGAAACTCGTAAAAGCATACAAAATATGAGACTATTTATTGAATTCAACAGATATAAAGTTATTCTGTCAAATTGGTTGGGAACTGCCAACAGTTTGCAGACAAGCTCTGGTTTGGGTGCCAAGGCCTAGAATTGTCTGGGCCCAAATTTCTGGCTTTGCCACTTCCTGTTTGTGTGGCTTGAGAAAATTATTTAATCTCTCTGAACCTCTTGAGTGTTACCATCTGTCAAACAGGGCTGGTAATAGTACCTGCCTCATGGTTTGAGTTAATGCAACTGAGGCACGGGGTAAGGACTGGTACTCGTGGAAAGCACTTAATAAGCAGAAGGCTCCATTATGATGATTTTAATTCTCCTTTCCTTGCTGATCTGTGGGAAGAGCCCATGTTGGAAAGGCTGTTGACTACAGATAGAAGAATGTAAATCATTATAATAACTAAAATTAATAGGGTACTCTGGTCAACATTTATGCCTCACAGCAACCTTGCAAGGAAGGTTTCTATTTTTTGTTGTTAATCTCTCTAACAAATTAAGAAATTGATGCACACAAAAGTCAAGTAGAGTGTCCAAGGGGTAGCAGAATTTGAATCAAGGTCTATTTGATCTAAAAGGTCTTGCTTTCAACTACAGGACCCCTGTCCTCTATCTTGGGGACCTCTGGTTTTGTGGTGGCCTTGTAACTAGCTGGAGGTCACATACATAATCAGTGTTGAGCTGGAGTCTACCTGACTCCAGAGAAGCATTTCCTATCCCGTGCTGCCTCCTGTACTTGGAGATGCAGACAAGCTCATTGTGGAGACAGGGCCGTAGCCTGGCTGTCGTAGTTTATCTTATGACAGGGCCGAAAGCAAGCTCATCACATGAGGTGAATTGTGCCGAAGCACAGCAATAGAGGGCTGCCATTCGCTCAGGCAAAGCAGCGCCGTCTGTCCTGCTGTGGTAGCTTTTATTAAAGCATTATCTATGTTTACATTTTAAGACTTGTTTTCTTAACATTTCAGAAATGCCAAAGCAGCAACATATGTTTCTATTGATTATACAAGCAATAAAGGGCTTTCTTGAAAACATGCCGTGCTTCGTCCTTGAGCGCAAAAGCAGCACAAGTTTCCCACCATTATTTTGATTATACTGAAGTAGCACAAGGACATTTCCTTGCGTTCCCACCATTCTGATTATACTGAGGACATCTCATGGATCAGTGCCCAAAGCTCTCAATGCTTCTTCGCAGGCCCCCGGTTTGCGGGGGGAGGGGGGCTCAAAGCAATCAGGACTGTTTGCAGTTCTGGCTTATTCGCCAGCCCTCGGTTTGCTGGGGGGGGGGGGTATGGGTCACGTCTCCTTTCCATGTTCTCAGTTATTCCACTACACCTGGCCCAAAGAAGGAAGGGTAAGGGGGGAAATGACAACCCTGGGAAAACTGTTCACTTTAACTTTTCAGTCAGGAATGATGAAAAAGTAAAATATTAAGAGTTTAAACTTGGGTGAAGAGAAATACAGTGGCATCAAATATTACTTTCGGTTAGTATCTAAAGCCAGCACTTAAAGTGTCAAGTAGACAAAATTTAAAATGTATGATGAGGATAGTCATGTACAGTGCATAGAGGATATGGGCAAAATGTAATCTTACAGTACTTTTAATTAGTAATTAATTTTTTTTTTTTGTCCAAGGACTTCATTGAATTTGCATAAGTTAGATGCACGTGTGATGTGGCTTCACTGAATAACTGTCTGCTTCTCCTTTGGGTGAAACTTGGCCTTAAGGCAAATGTCAAAGTAGAATGATGGGTGCAGTTGGGGAGATTTGGAGCCATTTTACCCAATGACATGCTCCAAAACTTCAGTGTTCTTCCACTTCCAGGATGAGGGTAAATGAGTCAACCAGCCCAGTCCTCTTCTGTGGCAGCCTGCCTGCCTGGGTGCCTGACGGGGAGATGGGACAGGGTAGCGCCATTTCTTAGACTTTGATGTTCCCTGAGACCTTGTGTCACAAGCAGAACTTACTTGCCCGTTGTCTTCCCCATCTTGTCTGAGCTGTTCTCTTCTTCCGCCAGGCTTCTTGCACCTGGGCGGCCTCCGCACTGCCTTGTACAACTACATCTTTGCCAAGAAGCACGGAGGGAGCTTCATCCTGAGGCTGGAGGACACGGATCAGACCCGCCTTGTGCCTGGGGCAGCGGACAATATAGAGGACATGCTGGAGTGGGCAGGTGAGGCTGGCTGGGAGAGGCCCCTTCTTCAAGGAAGGAGCAGGGAGCAGGAAAAGGAGCCTGAAGGTTTTCTCACATGGCCCAGGGTGGAGAACGCGGAGTCCCTGGAGGAATGAGTACATTTGTGCTGCCTGGGGTGGCAGGTTCCACCTGGAAAGATGCTGAAGTTCCTGGGGCAGGGCAGAATAAAAAGCTCCAAGGCTGTTTTGAGATTCTTGTTTTTCTCTCAGAATCTCACTTCCTACTGGGAGCGGGCAGGAAACACAGGCCAAGTGGAAGATGGACCGGGAATCTCCAGGGGTGTGGTAAGCCCGAGAAAGCGCCAGCCCAGTTGATGTGGGACTCCTGGCCCAGCTTGTCAAATCTTCTGATTTCCGGGAGGAGCCGGAACTCTGGGGTTTTTTTTGTTTTTGTTTTTGATGACTACTTCCCATTGTTAAATCTGAGCTCAGATTTTTTTTTTTTTTAAACCACGTTGTACGAGCCAAACAAAACACATGCAGCTTCTTAAGTCAGTCTCTTTAAGGGAAGTTTAGCCCTGAGGCCAGCTCAGCTCAGGGAGGACAAGGAGGAGTGTATTTGTGTTCCCCAGGTCAGTAGCTGCCTTCCTGTCGGAACAGGTATGACTATTTAAGCTCGCCAAGGGAAAATGCCAAAAACACCAAGTCTGTCTTGACGTGTGTATTCTAGTCTCAGGTAAATCATTAACTAAATTTTGGGTTCCTGAAGGGCAAAAACTGATTTCATTTCTGTCCTCTACCATAGAAACTTGTAGCAGAAACTCAGTTGAGATTAGTTGAATAAAAGAATTCATGCACCAAAGTCACTTACTGTGGTCCAGGTAGTGATAGTGTTCAAGTATGGAACCAAGACCCTGCACTCAGTAAGTAGGGGAAGACAGATAAATAACAGGTGAATTCATTCTTACTACAATATTAAGTGATGATAAGTGATGTGGAGGGAAGGGTAGCAGGTGAGGAAACCAGCAGGGAGCAGGTCTTGGAGATGGGGGGGACTTCCCCAGGGAGGGGACGGTAGAGCAGAGAGTTGCACAAAGTGAGGGGCCAGCCCTCTGGTTACCTAGGGGGAGAATGCTCAAAGCAGTGGGAATAGCAGATGCAAAGGCCCTGTGGAAGCTTAGTGCTGGATGTATTTGAGGAGCAGCAAGGAAGCCAGTGTGGCCCAAGCACGGTGAGGTAAGCAGAGGACCTGGAGACGTGAGGACAGGGAGGTTGGCAGGAGCCCGTGATTGGCCACGTGGCGTGGAGCACCTGCTACACCGTGCTAGGCACGAGGGTACCGTGATGAGCAAGACTGCCTGATGTGTCCTGCCCCGAGGAGCCCCCAGCTCGGCACAATGGTGTGAGCCTTCTGGTGAGGCAGAGGGCAGGGATCCACACCCCAGGTGGCTCAGTTCTGGAGCTTCTTGCTTTGGGCATCGGTATGTAATTTACATAGGATGAAATTTACCATCTCAAAGTGGTCTTTAGTATATTCACTGAGTTGTATATCCACCAGCACTCTCTAATTCCAGAACATTTCCATCACCCCAAAACGAAACCCTGCACCAGACACTCCCTATTCCTTCTTCCCTCCTGCCGCTGGCAATCACTAACCTACTTTCTGTCTCTGTGGTGTGCCTATTTGCGACATTTCATTTTATGTCTGGCTTACACTTAGCATAAGGTTCGTGTATGTTGTAGCATGAATTGGTTCTTCTTTCCCATTTATGCCGAACAATATTCGTTGTATGGAAATAACACTTTTTACTTATCCATTCGTCAGTGATTGGGCATTTGGATTGTTTCTACTTTTTGGTTATGATGAGTAAAACTACCATGAACATTTACATACTATTTTTTATGTGAATCTGTTTTCAGTTTTCCTAGTGGAGTCTCTCTTAAACCCTGGAGCATTCCAAATGCTGGACACGTTAAGGGTAGATCAGGAAGGAGCCCCAGATGCACCTAACCACCGCCCCCCTTCTCTGACAAATGAAGAAATACCAATACCAACAGTACCAACGATGGTCACAGCCAGGACCTGCTGAGCACCGAGATGTGCCAGGCAAAGCGCCAAACCCTTCCCGTAGGCCGTCCCATTCCAGCCTCGTGATGACCCTCAGCAGAAAGTAAATGTTTGTTTCCTTCTTTTGTAAAGGAGGAAATGGAGGCTCTGGTAGGTGTCTTGCCTGGCCTCAGAGCTGGCCAGTGCACTTGAACCCAGGCCCCTCAGCCTCCAGAGTCTGTGGGACGTCGGGTGTGCAGGGTTAGCCCTGTCCTCTTCCTAATTTGTTTGAAAGCCATTTCAGGGCAGAAACGCCGTCATCCAGCTCTTCTGTGTCCACCCTACCTCTCCCGGAAGCGTTTATAAGTTAAATCTATCCTTTGTGACCTGAGGAAACCAGACCTGGGGTTGGCGGTTCGCTTATAATAGGTCACATTTAATCTAACAGCGTATGTTGCAGCTGTTCTACACGAAGCCATTGCACTAAGTACTGTGTAAGCACTGGTGCGTTTACGTCTCGGTCACTCTGCACAGTAGACTCTCAGCTCCACTTTTCAGAGAAGGAAACCGAGGCTTAGAAAGGCTAAGGAATGCAAGAGGCAGTCCAAGTGGTTAAGAATGCGGACTTGGGGCCAGCTAGCCTGGCTTTCGTCCTTGGCCAGGTGACGTAACACAGCCCCTCTATACCCCCATGTCCTCCTTACTGAACGGGGGTAATAACGGCCCCTACTGGGTGGGGTGGTTTTGAGCTTTAACAGCGATCACAAAACATAAAAGCAGCCTGGAAGGTGCATGGCACTATCCCTCGTGACAGCCAGTCAGGGGCAGGGCCAGGAGCCCAGCCGGGCTGAGTGGGCTGTCCCTGAACCACGCTTCTTCTCCCAAGTCCCCTGTTCCAGACCTGCTGGCTTCTCCCTCCCCAGGGCAAGGATGGAGGGAGAGGACATGCCTGTAAGAGCATGGACCGTGGAACCAGTGCACCTCCATCCGACTCCTTATCCACCAGCCACATGACCTTGAGCGTTAACCTCTCTGTGCTTTAACTCTTCATCTGGAAAAGGGAAATCATAAGAGTAACAGGCTCATGGATTGTCAGGAGGGTTAGAAGCTTTGCTATATGTGTAAAGCGCTTATAACAGTGCCTGGGAACCAGTGTCTTGTGCATCGTAGTTATTACCGTTTGGTGATTATTCTCTGCCTGTGTTGTAGGCATCCCCCCTGACGAGAGCCCCCGCCGGGGAGGTCCTGCAGGGCCCTACCTGCAGTCTCAGCGACTTGCGCTCTACGCCCAGGCCACCGAAGCTTTGCTGAAGAGCGGCGCTGCGTACCCGTGTTTCTGCTCACCCCAGCGGCTGGAGCTCCTGAAGAGGGAGGCCCTAAGGAACCGCCAGACACCCCGGTGAGAGCCCCAGCCTGTCACGGGTGCCTCCCCAGGGGTGGATGTGTTCGTTAGCTCTTGCTGTGTAACAGATTATCCCCAACTGGCTTATCTCAGGGTTTCTGTGGGTCAGGTTTGGGCACAGCTTAGCTGGCTCCTTTGGCTCAGGGTTGCTCTCAAAGCTGCATCAAGGTCTTGGCCAGGCTTGCAGTTACCTCGAGGCTGGACTCTCAAAGGATCTGCCTCCATGCCTCTCTGAGGCTGTTGCCTGGAGGCATCTGTTCCAAGCCATGTGGGCCTCTCCACAGGGCAGCTCACAGCTTGGCAGCTGGCTTTCCTCAGGGCAAGCCAGGGAGAAGGCAGGGGAGAGCGAGGAAGGTGGAAGCTACAGCTTCTGCATAACCTAATCAGGGAAGTGACATCTCACGGCTATGTCGTGCTCTGTGCATCAGAAGGAAGTCACTAGGTCCAGCCCACGCTCAAGGGCAGGGAGGACACGGGGAAAAACACCGTGAGGCAGGGATCATTCTCTTCTTCCCCGCTCAAATGGTAGCCCACAAGATACATGTCATGCCGTTTACAGATCCCACTTACAGTCTTGAGGATCGGTCTGTATGAGTCCATAAATTTTCCTCTGCTTGCGTAGTATTCCGTTACAGGGCTGTGTCATCACTCACTTGATCAGGTCCTTTCTAATGAGCATTTATGTTATCTCTAATCTTCTGTTACTAAAAAAGGAGCGGTGATGAATAATGTTGACGTACATCGTTTGGCACATGTGCAATGTGTTTGTTGGATTACCTCCCTAGATTTGGAATTGCAGGTCAATTTATAGCTTTGATACATGCTGTCTAGAGGCACTCTACTAGCTTGTACTCCCATCAGCATCATAACATTCAAGTTCCAGTTTCAGTGAACTATTTGGACAAGGGCTTGGATGTTCATACAAGGTCGTGCCATCCGCTGCAGCATTGCCTTTTTAATCATAAATGGCCTACTTGCCCATTGACAGAAGATTATGTTTTAAAATTACGATCATGCCCTATCCTGGATCCATACAGCCATTTATTTATTTATTTTATACATTTATTTATTTTTATAAATGTATTTGTTTATTTTTGGCTGCATTGGGTCTTCTTTGCTACGTGCGGGCTTTCTCTAGTTGTGGCGAGTGGGGGCTACTCTTCATTGCAGTGCGCGGGCTTCTCATTGCAGTGACTTCTCTTGTTGCGGAGCACGGGCTCTAGGCGCATGGGCTCCAGTAGTTGCAGCACACGGGCTCAGTAGTTGTGCCTCGCAGGCTCTAGAGCACAGGCTCAGTAGTTGAGGCACACGGGCTTAGTCGCTCCGCAGCATGTGGGATCTTCCCAGACCGGGGCTCGAACCCGTGTCCCCTGCATTGGCAGGCGGATTCTTAACCACTGCGCCACCAGGGAAGTCCCATACAGCCATTTACGATTGAACATTTAGCTCAGTGTCAAGGATGGTACTTACAAGTGTTGCATTTGTGTATCATTTAGGATGCTTTTGGGAGCAAGTAACAAATACTCTGTTTAAAAGGGACAAACCAGAGCTTCTCAACTTCAATGTGCAGAAGAATCACCTGAGGGTCTAGTTAACGGGAAGCTTCTGATTTAGCAGGTCCAGGGTGGGTCCAGCAGGTCCTGAGATGCCGCATTTCTGACAAGCTCCCAGGTGAGGCTGACGCTGGAGGTCCACAGACCACACTTTGAGTAGCCAAAGCATAAACCACATAGACATTCATCTTCTCCTTCTGCAGAAGTCTGCAGGTGGGTGACTCCAGGATGAAGCCAGCAGCTTTGAGAAGGCGGGACTCTATTCTGGCCTGTTGCTGCCTCCCTTGCTGCCCCCCTCCCCCGTCAGTTACAAGTGGCTGCAGCACCTTGTGGCTCGCCCTCCTCTCACTTAGAGAGAAAATCTTTGCCAGAACCTTCATCCTCCGCTACCCCACAAGCATACTTTTTTTTGAATCTCAGTGATGGGTCAATGCTTTAGGGGAATGAGATTGCCTGCTTGGCAAAATCAGTCATGATTCACCCCCTTGGGTGACATTTGACGTTTCCTCATTAGCAAGGAAGAAGGGAAACAGGCTTGTGACTGCTGTGCTATGTTATCTCACTTAGTTCTCCCACGCAATAACCTTATTATCCCCATTCAAGACTGAGGAGACAGCTGTAAGAGGTAAATGACTTGCCCAAGGTCATACAGTTATCAGAGGCAAAGGTAGGGCTCACGCCCGTCACCACTACTCTTAGTAACTCTTAGTCACCGTGCTGCTCTGCTTCCCAACAGGTATGACAATCGGTGCCGGAGCCTGAGCGAGGCGCAGGTGGCCCAGAAGCTGGCCAAAGACCCCAAGCCTCCCATCCGCTTCCACCTGGAGGGGGAGGCGCCAGCCTTCCAGGACTTGGTGTACGGCTGGAATCGGCATGAGGTGGCCAGTGTGGAGGGGGACCCAGTCATCCTGAAGAGCGACGGCTTCCCCACCTACCACCTGGCCTGCGTGGTGGACGACCACCACATGGGCATCAGCCACGTGCTGCGGGGCTCCGAGTGGCTGGTCTCCACCTCCAAGCATCTGCTCCTCTACCGGGCCCTGGGCTGGCAGCCCCCGCGCTTTGCCCACCTGCCCCTGCTCCTCAACAGGGATGGCAGCAAACTGTCCAAGAGGCAAGGGGACATCTTCCTGGAGCATTTTGCTGCTGCCGGCTTCCTGCCAGATGCCTTGCTCGATATCATCACCAGCTGCGGCTCAGGGTTTGCAGGTACCCACTCCCCAAGAGGTCCTGGTGGGACCATAGCACTGAAGAGCCAGGGCCTTGGGTCAGGCCGCCTGGCCTTCAGTCCCAGCTGTGCCGCCCACTGGCTGTGTGATCTTATACATGTTCCTTCTCTTATTTGACAAGTGTTTATTGAGCCAGACAGCGTGTTACGTGCTGGGGCTACAATGGTGAACAAGGTAGATGTAATCCCTGTCCTCAAGGATCTTATGATCTGTGAGCCTCGGTTGCCTCATCTGTAGAATGGGCTAAGTGTCTACCTTACAGGGTTAAGTTAGGGTTCACTGAGCTCCTGACTATGAGGCACCAGCACAGTATCTGCCAAACAACAGCACAAAAATTACAGATCCTGTGATTATTGTAATTACATTATTAGTAGAAGTACAATTTGGTACTCTGACAGTATTACTAGGATTACTATGACCCTAGTTTATTCCAAGCTGACCAAAGACTTAGGGCCCACATCTTGATGATGCACAAAATAGGATGACCTTTTGGAGGGGGGACGATTTCTGAAAATGTGGCCATAGTCTGCTTCCTGCTTTTTCTGCTTGTATCTCATTTAAACTTTAAAATATCCTTGAGGGGTATTTATTATCCCCACTGTTTGTTAGAAGCTTGTGAGGCTCAGAGAGATTGAGTAACTTGCCGAAGTCACACAGCTAGTGAGGGCTGTGGCAGAGGCTCAAGCCTAACCAGGATGCCCACTGACTGTGTGAGATGGGGCCACCGCTCGTGAGAAGCAGCTCGTGGCTCAGCTCTTCTCACTCTGGCTGCACTTTGGAATCCACCAGGAAGCTTGTGAAATACAGTCCTGCTCAGACCCCATCCAAAACCAGTCGAGTCAGGATCCCTGGGGCGCAGCCAGGCAGTGAGCAGGCTCTTCTTGCAGCTCGTGTCTTTGAGGGCCATGAGGGTTGATTTAGCCGGATTGTTTTCAAGCTTTTTGTTCTTTAGTGACAGAACCCTTTCTGCAAATGAAAGCTCACTTGGGCCCTTGGTATGTAAAATAACTAGAAGTTGAATCTGTTTGGGTAGCCTCCCTTGTGATTGAAAGTGGAATGGCAGGGTGGGGGGTGGGTGCTGAGCAGCTGGGCCTGCCTCACTTGCAGAGAACCAGATGGGCAGGACCTTGCCAGAGCTGATCACACAGTTTGACCTGACCCGGGTCACCTGCCACTCGGCCCTGCTGGACCTGGAGAAGCTCCCAGAATTCAACAGGTGAGCGGGGAATCTGGAGCACCCCCAGGAGAAAAGGGCTCACCGACTGATGCTGGTCCCCACGGTGGAAGGTCTAGTGGGCTCTGGAGTCACACACACTTGATTTTGACTATGGGCTCAGGTGTCTAGTGCCATGTGACCACCAGTAAGTCACCTGACCTCCTCAAGCCTCTGTTTTCTCTAAAACGTTTTCTCACCATAGGCGATTGTTCAGTTAAATTAAGCCTCAAACTATTTTGCACGTAGAAAGTGCTCAGTAAAATGGCAGGTACGGTTTTTGTAGTCACCATTATTCCTGCTCAGCCCCTCCCCCACCCAGCCAACACAGTAACTGAGTGCTGTCTCATGGCGTCTGTTTTACATTTCAAGTAGTTCTTCCCTGCGAAACCTCCAGCCACAGTTACAGTTCGGATCACTGTTGCCACGTCTCAGGCTAAGGGCATTAGAGGGAAAGCCAGAGGACAGGTCCGTACTTAAGGGCCAGGGACTCTTTGATGTCTTCTCTTGAGCCTTGGTTTGGGGGCAGGCTCTTCTCCGTGCTTTGTGGCATGAGCCCAGGGGATTCACATCGACTGCGGATGTGTCAAGGATGTTACTTCATGTACTTCCCGCATCAGACCTAAGGTCAGTTGTATGATTTTGCTCTAGTGTGTATACGAGGAGAGCAAGATGTCAGGAAGTTGAATAACCAGCCCAAGTTCAAGTTCACACAGTAATGGTGGGCATCTTTTTTTAAATTATTATTATTTATTTATTTATTTTTGGCTGTGTTGGGTCTTCGTTGCGGTGCGCAGGCTTCTCATTGCGGTGGCTTCTTGTTGTGGAGCACGGGCTCTAGGTGCATGGGCTTCAGTAGTTGTGGCACACGGGCTCAGTAGTCGCGGCTCACGGGCTCTAGAGCACAGGCTCAGTAGTTGTGGCACACGGGCTTAGTTGCTCCACGGCATGTGGGATCTTCCCGAGATCGAACAGGGATCGACAGGGATCGAACTCCTGTCCCCTGCGTTGGCGGGCGGATTCTTAAGCACTGTGAGTGGGCATCTCTTGAGTGGGGCATTCAGGAGCAAACAGCGTGCACATTGAATGCAGCCTGTTCTCTACCTTTCTTATCATGGAGAAAGCGATATCCCTGGGAGAAATGGAGTCGGAACAGGGGAGATACTTTGTGACCCATTCCAGTCCTCCACAAAGCATGAGGGGGAGCCAGAGGGAGACGGCAGTGGGCTTTTGCTTGGGATAGATGCCCTCAGTTTTTGTGCAGCCGAATCTGTTCTCTTTAGTTGTTTCTGTAATCAAGCCACTGCTATGATTATTTCAGTAACAGTTGTAAAGATAGTAGTTGTCATAGCAGTGCTAGTGGTGTGGTGGAGGTAGTGATGGTAACTAACATTTATCTAGCACTCACTACGTCCCAGGCCGTGGCCTATCTCAAGCCTGATTTCTTTCTTCCCACTGTCTCATCTAACTACTAAGGAGGTCCTAGAAACAGTTTCAGTACAAATTTCATGTGATTTCTCTTCATGCGTTTTAGAAAGTGATGGTTTTGGGCCAGTGAGTGCTCCAGATTGCTTCCCAGACGGTCTCATCCTTCCACCCTCTGTTCAGACTCCCTGCCCGTCTCCAACTGCTGGGTGTGGCAGTAACACAGGCCTGGTACTCAGCGCTTTACAGACAGCTCCTTGTTTACTCTGCCCAGCGCCCTGTGAGGGAGGCCCCGTTGTTCCCACAGTAACAGACGAGCACCCTGAGCTCCGAACGGTTGTGTAACTTGCTGCAGACATCTGGCAAAGCTGGCTTCACCCACAGGCCTGTGCAGTCTCAGAGCCCATGAGATGATCACGAGTCCCTTGCTTCCTGCCTTTCTTCTACATCAGGGACAGGGGGCCAAGCGCCTACAGAATGGCCCTCGGCCCCTCGCTGCTCGCTCTCTTGGGTCCCTCCAGTCGTGCTGGGGACAGGGTGAGGGCAGCCCAGAGACAGGACTGACAGGGCCTGGTTTGAGGCTTGGAGTCTTAGAGGCTTTGCTGCTTCTGAAGGAGGGAACAAGGCGGTTAGAAGAATTCTGAAAAGGGAAAGATTTGACCTGACAGGAAAACTTGAGCTTTTTAACGGTGAGCTGTGAATTCAGAGAACTGTGCCATCTGGACATGGCTTTGAATCCTAGAAATCCATATTCTCGACCTCTGCCCTTTTGCTCCAGAGCCCCACGCTTTAAACTCTGCGAGGAGGCAGGCACCGCCAGGTTCTGCTTTGTAAACTCAGGTGCCTGTTGAGGCCAGGCAGGTAGCTCAGAGGAGGGTGGCGGGCCATGTGAGAGGCCCTGGGGAGCAGAGGGATGGGCAGACCTTCGGCACCCTCCTCTGTGCTCCAGCTGGAAGATGTCATTCTTCAAACCCCACCCACTCCACTGGGGAAGAGGGTTGTCTAGGCTGGAGATGCCCGTGGCAGGACGGTCCCTTGGCTTCCCCGGCAGGCTGCACCTCCGCCGGCTGGTGAGCGATAAGACCCAGAGACGCCAGCTGGTGGGGAAGCTACAGGCTCTCGTGGAGGAGGCATTCGGGAGCCAGCTGCAAGACAGGAATGTGCTGGACGCAGCCTATGTGGAGAGGATCATCCTGCTGAGACAGGTGTGGTGTCGGGAGCTTGGGGGGTACCCAGGGAGCGGGTGGCGCCCCACTCCTCCCCCTCCCGCTGCGTCAGAGCCCCATCCCAGGGCGTTCAGTGACCGCCTCTTCCCCCAGGGTCACATTTGCCACCTGCAGGATTTGGTCTCCCCAGTGCACTCCTACCTGTGGACTCGCCCTGCTGTGAGTCGAGCGCAGCTGGGTGCCGTCTCGGAGAAGGTGGACATCATTGCCAAGCGTGTGCTGGGGTGAGTGTCCGCAGGCTGAGTTCAGGGTTCTGCACCTCCCTTCCCTCTCTCCCCACCAGGGCCCCCTTCACTCCAGGGCTCGGCTGTCAGGCCTGCAGTACAGCCCCAGAGCTAGCGAGAGGTTCTCGGTGAGACGATCACTCACGGCGCTCTCGGCGGAAGGGCTGACCCTGAGGAGCCCAGGCTCTCCCGGGAAGAGCCGGTGGTCTGGCGCTGGGATCGGACCCACCTGGATTCCGTTTCCGCCCCACCCCTCGCTGGCCCAGTTAGTTCACTTGCCCAGGGGGCTTCGATTTGTCCAAGTGACTGCACGTCCTTGAGCTTCCATTTCCTCACCTATTGGGTGGAGATGATACCAGGTCTTATTTTAACAGTAGCAGAACTCTCCAGATTACGAGGGCACAAAGTGCAACCAAAACAGGCTTAAGCAAGGGGGGGAATGATTGGTGTACGTAATTGCAGAGGCTAGGAGAAGAGCCAACTTGAGGTCCAGCTTAAAGCTGGGGCCAAAAATATGGCACCAAGACCTAATTTCTCCCTCTGCCCCTTTGACTTTCTCCCCCACACTCCTCCACGCCCGCTACTCCTTCTGCAGGGGTTCTGTATCGGGTAGATGGAGCGTGGGATGCTCTACCAGACAAGACAAGCGCCTTTCTCCCTTACCTGCGTCCAGAGCAGGCAGTTTGGGCTGAAGAGCTTTCTCCACATCTCCAGGGTCCTGTCATCCCTGGGTTTTGCTCTTGTCCCCATGGTCCGTGGTGGCTCACAATTCAGCCAGAGGAGGAAGGAGGGAAGGGAGAGGGGGACGGGATACTCCTCCCCCTTAGGGACTTGACTTAAAAGTGACAAACTCGTTTCCACCCGCATCCCACTGGCCCGAACGCCTGTCTTACGGCCACTCCAAGCTACAAGGGAGTCTGGAAAATGTAGTTTTTACCTTGGGGACCAGGTGCCCAGCTGAAAATTGTGTCAGTACACATGAGAGGGAGAAAGGATACCAGGGGTCAGAAGCAGCCTCTCTCACAGTCTCCACTGTAGTGGTTAAGATAGCAAAACCTTAGCTTCCGGCTCCAGCTGTGTCCTGAGATTCACTCTGATGGGGCCTGATTGGCCTGGTTTTTCTGTCTCCGAACGAGTCACTGAGGCCTGGAGAAGGTGATGTGCTGACTGGCTTAGGTTAGGTCATACGTGGGACCCTGAGTGGACCCACCCCCACCCCCACCCAGCCAAAGCACATGGGCTGAGGATGGAGCCGGGTAGTTCCACAGGGAGAGTTAGGGCCTGTGGAGAGAGTTATAAAGATTAAATTAGATAATAATAGCAAACACTCGTGTGGGTTTGCTTACACATGTGCCTACAGCATGCTGTGTTATATATCATATACATTAGATGTGTACAGGGATACGTGTGCATGCTATGTGTGTGTGTGTACACTTGAAATCAGAGCAACCTAATAAAGGAACTCCTGTTAGCCCCATTTTAACAGGTGAGGAAATCAAGGCACAAAGAGGTTAAGTAACTTGTGTAAAATAATACAGCTAGTAAATCGAAGGAGCAGGGATTGAGACTGAAGCTGGCTGGGGCGAGAGACCGTATGTCCAATCATATTCTCTATTGCTTATCTTTGGTGTAAAGTACTTGGACAGCCCCTGATCACAAGCAGCCATCACAAGTCTTCCCTCCTACTCAGCACCCAACAGAAAGGCAGTCCCAAACAGCAGTTTCCTTTGTGAAATGTCTGTGTATTCAAGGAAATGTGTATACAGCTCCATTCTTCCAATTTTTTGAATTTAAAACTTAATTGTTATTAATACATTCAAACCTCTTGAACCTCTAGGTTTAAAACCTAGAAATTATTTTGAAAGGTATATATCAGGAGTCCCATTTTTAATCCTTGTCCCCTGTCTGCCCCGTTCCAGAACCCTCTCTGGATGTTACTACTATTCATAATTATATCTAAATAACCCTTAGTTTTCAGCTTTTTTACACAAAAGGTACAATACAGGGAATTCTCTGGTGGTCCAGTGGTTAGGACTCAGTGCTGTCACTGCCTAGGGCCTGGGTTCAGGCCCTGGGCAACTAAGATCCTGCAAGCCGAGCAGTGTGGCCAAAAAAATACGATATGATAACACTGTTGTCTTTGGGTGGGATTTTTGTTTTATTTTTATTTTTTTAGTGATGTATAGTTGATTTATAATATATTAGTTTCAAATGTACAACATAGTGATTCAGTATTTTTATAGATTATACTTCATTTAAAGTTTACAAAATAATGGCTGTATTTCCCTAAGTATCTTTATGTGTTTTTTTGCTTGTTTGTCTGTTTGTTTTTCCCTTAACAATTTATCTTTAGATCTGTCCAGGGCTTAGAAGAGCATCCTCATTCTTTTCTTGGCTACAGCTATTCCCTTTTTATACCACTTTACCATGATTTATATAATTCATCTCCTATTGATGGACATTTGGATTGCTTCCAAATTTTGCAGTTACAATCACAGTGAGTAACCTTGAATAGACATCATTAAGCACCCTTACAAGTAAATCTCCAGGATAAATTCCCAAGAGGTATTATTAGTAATAATACTCCCTTAATTTAAGACATTCCACACGAGGCTGTTAGTTCTAGTTCACTGGGCTAATGTCTTACCTCCCCACCCCTGCCATGGGATTAGATTTTAGAGACCCTCTGGGGCTCCCACTGAAGGCAGGAAAGCTGATGCCCAAATATTTAGAAGCTGCCGGATCTCTGGAAGTCCCTCTGTGCCCACACCAAGGCCTGGACCAGCTCTAACATGCCCTGGCTGCCAGTGTTGGCTGCCTTGGGCCTGTCACCCTCACCAGCTCCTTGGCAGCCTGCTTCCCCACAGTGACATTGAGGAGTGTGTTTGGTTTTTTCCCACATTACATTTTTGGGTTTTTTTGAAGTATAGTTGGCTTACAATGTGTTAATTTCTGCTATATAGCAAAGTGATTCAGTTATACATATTCCTTTCCATAGTCTTTTCCATTATGGTTTATCACAGGATATTGACTATAGTTTCCTGTGCTCCTGTGTTGTTTATCCATTTTATATATAATGGTTTGCATCTGCTAGTCCTAAACTCCCAATCCTTCCCTCCCCCCACCCCGCCCACCCTTGGCAACCACAGGTCTGTTCTCTATGTCTGTGAGTCTGTTTCTGGTTCGTAGATACGTTCATTTGTGTCATTTTAGATTCCACATATAAGTGATATCATATGGTATTTGTCTCTTTCTGAGACTTACTTCACTTCGTATGATAATCTCTAGGTCCATCCATGTTGCTGCAAACCACATTACATTTCATATTTTCAATATTTCCTCTTCTCCATTTCATAAATAGCAGCAATCATGTGGTCCGGTTTTAAGATGCAACAAGAATGATTATGTTTCTCAGATTGAAACTGAATTGCTCAACTACTGGAGTGAGTAAGGAAATCTGCACTAAAAGGCTTTTTGTTTCAATTCCTCATGAACCCAGTCCCTGAGCCGGTAGCCCTCCATCCTGAGCTGATGTGGGGAATGGAGTGTCTGGGCCCTTTCGGGAGCAGGTGGTGTCAGAGGTGGCGTCGAGGATCGTCTGCACTAGTGAAGATCTCCAGCCTCGGTCCCTCTTCCGTGTGGAATGACTCCCCCTGCCCTGCTCCCGTCTCTTGCTCTAACTCAGAATCAGGGCTGGGACGAAGTTTTTGCAAGTCGTGCTCTGACTAATTGGGGACTTTCTCTTGAGCTCAAACATGCTTTGGGGAGAGGGTCTCAGCTGGACTGCCAGGAAAGTGGGGAATGGTTGCTGGCCTGTTGTAGTTCCTTAAGTGTTTCATTTGTGGGCAAAGAATGGTTGTAGCAAGTTGGCGGCAGGGACATTACTGGAGCTGGGGTCTCCTGATTTCCTTCTTTCTGCTCTTCTCTGCTACATCCCCCAGAAGTCTTGAAGCTGTGTTTCAGATCATTTCCCAGAGGGCTTCATTCTTCCATCCTATGTGTAACCCAATCCTAAGTTTCTTTTTAGATCCTCTTGCAATGTCTCTGAGCTCTTGGATGTAATAAATATTAGCTAATATTTAACTTTTTATTGAAATATAAGAGCTCATACTTTCAAGTACTTACCATCTGTTCAGGCAATGTACTTAGTGCTTTACAAGTTTTAACTTAGCCCCACCATAGCCCTGTGAGGTGCAGACACTATTATTATTCCCACTTTACAGGTGAGAAAACTGAGGCATGAAGATTACATGGCACAGGTAGTAATCAGTAAATCCTCTTATGGTTTCCTCTTAGTTTCCCTATTTTATGCCCACTTGCTTGGATTCTCTGTGTTTGTAGTCTCTTGGTTGGTGTTTCTTCCGCAGCTAGGATGGGGATGGGGGTAGTAGATATCTGCCACCCCCAAGGCAGGCTTGAACATTGGTTGTGAACATTGGTTGTGCTGTTAATGTATATTGTAGGTGATGGATGAATCTTCTGAAGTCCTCCTTTCCACCCACTTGCCACTGGCCCATGCTGGCCCCTTATAGACTGGCCCTCTTCTAGGCTTTTAGAAGGACCCGGTATGAGTTTAACTCAGGACATGCTGAACGGAGAACTGAAGAAGCTGTCAGAAGGTCTGGAAGGCACCAAGCACAGTAATGTGATGAAGCTCCTCCGAGTGGCCCTCAGTGGACAGCTGGTGAGGCGGGTGGCTGGACTGTGCCCTGGAGCCCTCATTTATCCACTCAGCTAACATTCACCGGCAGCACTAAGCTCAGTTTGGGGGCTGCAAAGATGAATGGAACATGACCACCCCCCTCATTCAGTCATTCAACAGACAATACTTACTGAGTACCTACCATGTGTAAGCACCATGCTAGGTACAGTGGATACGGTAGTGAGTGAAACACATGTGCTCCCTGCCTTCATGGAGCCGGCGGTTGACTGGGGCTATTGGACCTACCAGCAAGAGCAGGCTTCTGGGACCCATCCTTAGAAATTAAAGCCCGTAAAATGCAAACTCTGCTCCTTGGGATGCAGGCAGCAGTGCTGGGGTTGGCCTAGGGTGTAACTTCTGCAGACCAAGTTTGGGTGTTCATTCCTCAGGCATCAATGCAGTGTTTTCTCTTTTTGTTCTTAGCAGGGACCTCCTGTAGCTGAGATGATGTTGTCCTTGGGACCAAAGGAAGTGCGGGAACGAATACAGAAGGTGCTTTCCAGCTAGAGAGAAGGTGTGCAGGACAGCAGAGGTGGCCACAGGAACTGTTCTTGTGGGACCTGCCCTCAGAGGGGAGGAGCAGGGGGCCTGGGGCCCATCGGAAGCTTGTGGAAGGAACCAAGAATGGACACACAACCTCTGGGTGCACAGGTGCATTTATGGCTCCACGCCAGGCCCATCCTTATCAGTTGGCCAGGGTCACCCAGCCCCCCTCACCTCCCTGACGCTGGAAAGGAAGGCCTCACGCATGGTTCTGACACCACAGCACACAGCAGAGGTTAGGAGCTGGCTCACTGAACGGTCGCAGCTCATGTTTTAGTCTGCTCGGGCTGCCAAGAAAAAATATCACAGAATGTGGCTTAAATAACAGAAAATGATTTTCTCACAGTTGTGGAGGCCAGCAGTCCAAGATCAAGGTGTTGGCAGGTTTCATTTCTCCTGAGGCCTCGCTCCTTGGCTTGCAGACGGCTGCCTTTTTGCTCTCTCCTCACAAGGCCTTCCCTCTGTGTGTGCCCTCGGTATCTCTGTTTGTCCAAAGGCCCTCTTAGGAGGACACCAGTGAGATTGGGTTAAGGCCCACCCTCACGGCCCAGTTTGAACTTAATCACTTCTTTAAATGCCCTGTCTGCAAATTTGGTCACATTCTGAGGTACAGAGAGGTTAGGGCTTCACATGTGAGTTTTGAGGGGAACACAACTCAGCCCATGCATAACAGCTTGGCAGCAGCCTGGACTCCTGGGTCCCAGTTCTCGGGCCCAGTTTGACTTTGTTTTTTCGTTTTGTTCTGTTTTTTAATTTATTTATTTTTGGCTGTGTTGGATCTTGGTTGCTGCGCACAGGCTTTCTCTAGTTGCGGCGAGCGGGGGCTACTCTTCGTTGTGGTGCGTGAGCTTCTCATGGCGGTGGCTTCTCTTGTGGAGCACGGGCTCTAGGCACACGGGCTTCAGTAGTTGTGGCACGTGGGCTCAGTAGTTGTGTCATGTGGGCTTAGTTGTTCCATGGCATGTGGGATCTTCCCGGACCAGGGCTCGAATCCGTGTCCCCTGCATTGGCAGGTGGATTCTCAACAACTGTGCCACCAGGGAAGCCCCCAGTTTGAGTCTGGAGCAATGACTGACAAGCTGGGCTGAAGTGGCTTGTTAGACTTTCTTTGGGGCTTATAAGGGAAGAACCCACAAATCTGCCCAGGGGGAACACTTAACGTTTTATACTACTCTTTGTCCTTGGGCTTGGGGCAGCCTGTATCTCCCTTCCCTAAAGGTTGTCTCTTCCTCTTTTCCAGTTCTCCCCCGGTCCTTGTACTGGAGACCTCTACCCTGCCTGCTTTTCATCTTTTTCTTCATATTTGCCTCCTTCTTCCACCCATCATTTGTAAATCACTGTCTGTGGGTTTCTGAAAAGAGATGTTCTTCCTGGGGTAAATAGGAATAGCTGAAGTGGAAGGAGGATGGTGGCCAGCTACAAAGACCCCTACACAGCTACTGGGCTTCCCCTTTGTAGCCCCCAGTTATCGCTACCTCCTGGCATTCACACTGAATAGGGCTGACTTCTGTGTGGTGTGTCATGGCTTCCATGTTGTTCTCTTGGATCCCTTACTCTGTGGGAAGCCAGCTTCCACACTGTGAAGACAGTCAGAGAGACAAGGATCGGAGGCCTTTTGACAACAGCCGTATGAATGGGCCATCTTGGAAGTCAGTCTTCCAGCCCCAGTCAAGCCTTCAGATGACTGCAATGCTGGCTGACATTTGACTGCAGTGTTCTTTTTTTTTTTTTTTTAATTGGAGTGTAGTTGCTTTACAATACTGTGTTTGTTTCTGCTGTACAGCAAAGTGAGTCAGCCACACGTATACATATATTCCCCTCTTCCTTGGATTTCCTTCCCATTTAGGTCACCACAGAGCATTGAGTATAGAGTTCCCTGTACTATACAGTAGGTTCTCGTTAGTTATCTTGTTTATACATAGTAGTGTATATGTGTCAATCCCAATCTCCCAATCCATCTCACCCCCTCTTCCCCCTTAGTATCTATACGTTTGTTCTCTATGTCTCTGTTTCTGCTTTGCAAATAAGTTCATCTATACCATTTTTCTAGATTCCACATACGTGTTAATATACGATATTTGTTTTTCTCTTTCTGACTTACTTCACTCTGTATGAAAGTCTTTAGGTCCATCCTCGTCTCTGCAAATGGCACAATTTCGTTCCGTTTTATGGCTGAGTAATATTCCATTGTATATATGTACCACATCTTCTTTAGCCATTCCTCTGTTGATGGACATTTAGGTTGGTTCCATGTCCTGGCTATTGTAAATAGTGCTGACTGCAGCCTTCTTGAAAGATCCTGAGCCAGAACCACTAAGCAAAGTTGCTCCTGAATTTCAGACAAACAGTTATGAGATAATAAATATTTATTGTTTAAAGCCACTTAGCTCTGGGATAATTTGTTACCCAGTAAGAAATTGCTAATACACTGTCCTTTTCCAGGGGAATAGGGAAAGGGGATTAAAGAATTTGCTGAGTTTCACAGAGACCTAATCCTTGCTTGAAAAGTACATCAGATAAACTTCTTTGATGGCAAGCAATGGAAACCAGCTCTGCCTAACTTAGGTTTATTGGAGACTTTAAGTTTATGGGAGTTTAAATTTGTGAGAAAGTCATAGACTCTATGGGAAAGCCAAAGAACCAGGTCTTGGAAAAGACAGGAACCAGGGAAGCTCTGAGCATGCAGGCAGCAGGAGCTCATGGCCAGTCTTGTCTGTGTTCTTCAGTGGGAACACATGAACTCTTAACTATTTTTTGTTATGGTTTCTCTGTATTTTTTCGCCTTCAGTTTTGGATGATTCAGCTAAAGATTCAGATTCTAAGAAGAGAGTGGTTGGGCTAACTGAGGTCATGTGACCATTCCTCAGCCAGGAATATATCCAATGGAGGAAAAGTTCCCAAGGAGAAGTAGGGTGGTTTTTCCAGAAGAAGGGGCAATGGCAGAAACAACAGGTGTTCCGCCAAAGGGGACACAGAATAATAATGCTTGCAATTTATTTTGCGTTCACATGAGCCTCAACCACTTCTGGGTTTCAAATTATGCTGGTAGGGGACTTCCCTGGTGGTTCAGTGGCTAAGACTCCATGCTCCCAATGCATGGGGCCTGGGTTCGACCTCAGGTCGGGGAACTAGATACTGCATGCATGCCGCAACTGGGAGTCTGCATGCTGCAACTAAGACCCGGTACAACCAAAATAAATAAATAAATATTTTTTAAAAATTATGCTGGTAAACACTTTAGTTCATCATCTCTTTAAATCTTCACAACCCCATGAGACAGACATTATTATTATGGTTGTTTCTGTGTTTTAGATAGGGAGACTGAGGCTCAGAAAAGTTGATCAACTCTTCTGAGGTTTTAGTATGAGGCTTACGACAACCCAGAGTCCAACCTCAACTCTTGTCACTCTGAGTGACATTAGAGCCTTCAATTCTAAGACATCAAGTATGCTTACAAGAAACTCTAGCTCTTGGTTAGGGAATCTGACTGTTTTAACAAAATGAGTGATCAAATTGCTGAGTCGATAAAGTTGTGGCCACTTCCTCGGTTGGAGGGAGTTGTCTGAGAAGCAGCATGTATCCTCTGCTCTGGGGTTTTGCTCAGGATCAGAAGGAATGTGTAAAAGGACTTCACAGAGTTTAAATAACCTCAAGTCCATCCCCCAGTGTTTTTTCAGAGTATAGTGAAGTGAAGGCCATAGAGGCCAACTGTCTAGACTCAAAAACTGGTTCTGCCACTTAATGTGTGACTTCTGTAGCTCAGTTTCCTCATTTGTTAAAATGGGGATAACAGTTGTATCTGTCTCAGCAAATTGTAAGAATCAAAATAGATGACATGTAAAGTTCTTAAAACAGTGCCTGGCACTCAACAAATGTTATCAATTACAATCATCCTCTTCACCAGTATTTTCATCCTTAGAGATGCTAATCTTGGTTGCAACACATAGAAACACACTCAGACTAACTTAAACCATGAAAGTAATTTACTGGAAGATTTAGGACCCACAGATCCCAAGGGCAGGACTTCCAGCTGGACCTTACAAGAGACTGGAATCTGTACCCAAAAACCTATTAGGACCCAACACACTCACCTTTATCCCTCTGAAACTGCAGTTTCTAACCTTCGTCTCTGTCTGGGTGTCTGCTACTCTCATCTCTCTTCTGCAGGCTGGCTTTCTCTTATCTCTGCAGCTGTTGAACAACTGCCCCAGCCCTAAAGCTGAATCATCTCCCCTCTACTACACTGCCAGTTCAATAACTAGTATTCCATGTCCAAAATCCCAGGAGAGAATCTGATTGGCCTAGCTTGGGTCAGCTGTCTACCCCTGGTCCAATCAACTGTGGCCAGTGGGACAGAGTCATGTAGGCAGTCATGGCTGCAGGAGACCACTCTAGTGATGGAGAGGGCCGTTCCTCCCCCTGAGCATATTCTCTTTCCATGGAGTTTAGAGTATACCCTTGCCAGAAAATTACTATTTTTCTGTAGGCAACTTTGGAATCTCATTCATATTGCCTTTATCCTAGCTTATTTTTTTCCTCATAATGCTTATTACTATATGAAATTACATAGTGTATTTGTACATGTTTATTGTCTGTCTTACTCTAAAGAAGATAAGATTGAGACAGGCAATAAGTTTTTCTTATTCTTGGTTGTAACCATAGCACCTGACACGTTGTCTGACCCATAGTAGGGAGTCAGGTAAAGCTCTCATGATGAAAAAAATGTTTGAGGCCTTCATCAGTCAGATCAGTTTCTTCAGAAGTGGCAATTATCAGCTGATCTAACTCTACCAGGTTCCAACAGTTTCCCAGTTTCACTTTCATTGACTCTGGGGAATCACGTCTCTTCTGCAAGATTTGCAGTTGTAGTTAGCTATCTGATCTATTGCCTGTAAATTGCACCAAATCCAGCTATCTGTGAGAGATTGACCTTTGACAAAGACTTTGAAGACTGAGATAGATGGAATACTTCAATATAGAGGGGTGTTTAGTGGGACCTAAATTAGAAATTGTCTAATTGATTAAATATGTTTGTCTTATGATGAAATTCCCTACCTTCCCAGGGACCAGGATAATAAATACTTAGAAAATGAGGACTTCCTGGGTGAGGGCAGAACCTGGAGAGGGTAGTTCATGCGTTCATGTTCATAGATGTCAGAGGACTTTACAGATGAAGTGACCTTTGAACTGGGTTCTGAGGGATGAGTAGGAGTTTCCAGATCAATGGGGGTTGGAAGGTATTCCAAACAAAAGGATGAAAAAGAATTTCACCAAGTTGGGTGGAGCCAAGGGTAGGAGTTGAGGGAGTGGGAGAAGTAGCTGAGAAACCAGGCAGAGGGAAATCCAAACAGCCCTTCTTTGCCAGGTTAAGGGTATCAAGGTGCCGTCTGATGCAAATAGCAAAACATCCAGATTGAAACCAGCTTGAAAAGGAAGATTTAGTATCCCGCAAAGCAGGAAGTTCGGGGGTATGGCAGGCTCCGGGGTTGGTTAATTAAGCGTTCAGTGACCTCAGTGAGGACATAGGGTCTTTCCATCTCTTTGTTCTGTTGGCCCCAGCATTGGCAACAGCCTTGGGTTGGTTCTCTCTGCTCACAATTGTCTGCCTAAAGTGCTCGGGCCTCTCTGCACTTCATGTTGTCAGAGACAGCGTGGCTTTCTGTGTCTCTCTCCCCGAAAGCAACGAAACTTTTCTCCAGCACCCTCCGCTTCGTGACTTCCCCATTCTTCATTCAACCTGTCCCTTAGGGGAAGTGGGCGGGGGAGTCCCCATAGATCAGTCAGACCCAGAGCTGGGGGCGGGGCCAGCTCTTCTCTG